AATAGAGACCAATTTAGTGAGAGTTGACATCTTTACTATGTTGAGTCTTCTAATCCATAAGTGTGTTATGTTTTTTTCAACTATTTAGGTCTGCTTTGGTTTTTTTCCTTAATTCTATTTTATAGTTTCTAATTATACAAAATTGTGCATCCTTTCTTAGATTTACACCTAAGTATTTCATTGTCTTTAGAGCAATTACAAATGATACTACTTTTTAAGTTTCAGTTTCCATTTGTTCATTGCTATATGTAAATGCACCTGATTTTTTCTGTAATAATCTAGTATGCTTCAAACTTGCTGAACTCACTTATTAATTATAGGATAGTTTATGGGGCGCCTGGGTGGCTCAGTCAGTTAAGCGTCCGACTTCGGCTCAGGTCATGATCTCGTGGTTTGTGGGTTCGAGCCCCATGTTGAGCTCTGTGCTGACTGCCAGCTCAGAGCCTGGAGCCTGTTTCAGATTCTGTGTCTCCCTCTCTCTCTGACCCTCCTCTGCTCAAGCTGTTTCTCTCTCTCTCTCTCTCAGAAATAAATAAAACATTAAAGAATTATAGGATAGTTTTAAAATGCAGATTCCTTAGGATTTTTTATGTAGACAGTCATGCCATCTGTAAATAGAAAGTTTTATTTCTTTATTTCCAAATTGTATGCTTTCCATTTTTCTTATGCTTGATTGCATTGGCCAGAACTTTCAGTATCATGTTGAAAAAGAGTGATGAGAGCAGACATTCTTGACTTGTTCCTGATCTTAGAGAAAAAGCATTTGGCCTTTCACAATTAAGTATGAGGTTAACTGTAGGTTTTTTTTTTGTTTTTTGGTTTTTTTTGGTAGATGCTCTATGTGAGTTCCTATTTCTAGTTTGCTAAGAGCTGTCATAAATAGGCACTAGGTTTTGCCAAATAAGTTTTCTGTGTCAATTGATATGATCATATGATTTTTCTTCTTTAGTCTGTTGATATAGTACATTATGTTAGTTGGGTTTTAAATAGTCTTGCATACATGGGATAAATCCCACTTGACCATGGTGTACTATTTTTATGTACTTCTGTATTTGATTTGTTAATATTTTGTTAAGGATTTTTACATCTAAATTCATGAGTGAGTTTGGTCAATATTTTTCCTTTTTACTATCTTTGGTTTTAGTGTTAAAAAATTTTATGAAGGTCGAACTGGCTTCATGAAAGGAGTTGATAACTGTTCCCTCTTCTCCATTTTCTGAAAAAGAGTATTGTAGTTTTATTTAATAAGTTAGTTTTTCAAGATGTGCAGTGTTGATCTGGAAAATGCATAAATATGATAGGATATTAAGAGAAGGTGGGGTCAGCCTTATACCTTCCTCCTTCACATTTAGGGTGTTTCTTTCTGGGGTCCACTGTGTATTGATCAGAAAGGGACTCTCAGTCTAGGAGAATCTAAATTCGGAAGGAATGTGTCTTTGATATGTGTCTTCTTACTCAAAGGTATTTTAAGAAACACTAAAGAAGGATTAGAGATTAGCACTTGTGTAAGGAGCTTATAGGACAGCTAAAATTTTAATCACTCTCTAATTACTTAGTACGTGCCCTTTAACTCTTTTTCTGTATATGATTAATAATACTTTACCATCTGTCAGAAAAGATCAAGAACCGAGGATTATAGAGCTGTGAAACATAACTTTTTCACAAAAGGTATTTTATGATACTTGTTTTAAATTTGCATATAGTAAAACTCATTTTCTGTGGTGTGGACTTCTGTGTATTTTGACAAATGCATAAATTTATAAATCCACCACTACAATCAAGATACCAAATAATTTCATCGCCCTCTAAAATCCCTTGCATTGTCCCTCCCTGGCAGCCACAGATTTGTTCTTCAACCTTATAGTTTTGTCTTTTCTGAATGTCATTAATGAAATCAGTTTAGAGCCTTTCAACTCTGGGTTCTTTCACTTAGCAAAAGGTGCTTAATATTTATCTATTTCATTACATCTATCAATGATAATTCCTTTTCTTTTCCCGGCATGGGAAAAGCATGTTGGCCTTCTCTCTTATGTCTTAGAAATCTTAGAGGGTCTAGCACGATCAAAGTTTGTCTAGAGAAATTTCTCGGTCATCAATCAGCTTGTTTAGAGCCACGTGACTCCATTACCTGAATGACAAGATCAGAGAAAAGCAACTAATCAAAAGCACGCCATGACTAAGCTAGCCAATGACCAATGAAGTGATCTGGTAGAATTGTTCTGTCTGACAGAGGCAGTGAGTATTTACTGCTGATAGGCCAGGCTACTCAAATCATCTAAGCCAGGAGGAATAGTTAGCAAGAGGAGCCACTTGGAACAGGGAATAATGGATACATTTCCTAAAGATACGAAATGACCAGATCTTTAGAACTTCACAAAGTCTTGAACACTGTTTCATTCTGCACAAGACCTTGCTGAGTGTGGTTGAGGGTCCTGTCTTCCACACTCCCCTTGCATGTATCCCATACGATCTCTTTTTGTTCTTTTTTCTAGATGTTCAGAGGTCTTTCTCTCTCTCTCTCTTCCTTCCTCCCTCCCTCCCTTCCTTCCTCTCTCTCTCTTCCTCTCTCTTTCATATTGTGTATTTTCTGTTTTAAGAACTTCCTTTATCATTTATTTTAGGGTAGGTCTTCTGGGGAAAGATTGCCTTAGTCTTTCTTTATTATGATGTCTTTATTTCCTTTCATTCCTGAAGGATAAATTTCTGGACAGAGGTGACAGTTTTTATCTCATGGGGGTTTCCTAGCTTCTTGATTCCATAGACTCATGTCTTTCACCATATTTAGGAAATTTTTAGTCATCATTTCTTCAAATACTTTTTTAGCCTCATCCTTTTCACCTCTCCCGGAACTCCGATGACGTGAATATTAGATTTTTTAGTTTTCCAGGTCTTTTTTTTTTTTTTCTTTCTGTTGTCAAGCCCATCCATGGAGTTTTTTACACTCTTTTTTTTTTTTTTTCTGTTGTCAAGCCCATCCATTGAATTTTTTATGCTGGTTATTGTATTTTTCAGTTGTAAAATTTTCATTTTGCTCTCCTTTAGATACCTTGCTATTGCTGAATAGTGATGAAAATTAAGATTCCTCATCTGGCCTCCTCTGATACCACTCTGGTAGGAAGGAAGAGGGTACCTCATTATCACTGGTGGGAGATGAAAGTTTAAGATCCTCGTGTGGTCTTCTCTGATACTACCCAGGTAGGGGTGGGGTAGGCTTACTTAATTATAGCTGGGCCAGGATGGAAGTCTCTTTGCTCTGCTTGTGCTGATGGGGTTGATGTTGGCCTTTTTTCCTCCCCGTGATACTGGATTTGTTGATGTTGGACTTGTTTCCATGGCATTGAGTAATTTTTTTCTACTCATTTTCTGCCTTACTAGATTACATCTTTCCTGGTTATTTGTCTAGAGAGAGTAGGCTTTCTGAGAATAGAATATATATATTCTGCTCCTGTTTGTGTTCTGGGTTGCTGCTTCTCTTACATCTAGTTCAAGATATACGAGGCACAAAGGGAACTCAAGGAATTCACTGCCAGATTGTTCCCTGAGTCCCAAGTTGCCTACTTGATCTATCTTCTCTTGACCATTTAAAATATTGTTATATTTGTTCCACATGTAATACACAAGAATTTTAGCAAGAGGAATGGAAAGAAGTATATCTACCCCATCTTTGTCCAGAACTGGATACAATAGAAGTTTTTAAATCTTTAAAGAAATTTAAGATTTTTCTAATCCTAAACCCTTGAAAGCTATATTAGAATCAATTTAGGAGAGTTTTTTCAAACTATAGACTTTGCCTTGCCCCACGCATTTCACTCTTCACTCTCCATTCTTCTGGGTCTCCCTGGGAGCAAGAGTAGTCATGGCACAACCCTCTCCCTCCTTCCAACATTGAGAGTCACTGGTTACAAATCCTGCTACTGATCAATGTGGCTTATCTTTGTCAAGTATGTTGGGGTGGAAGAAACTGAGAACCTCGGCACATTACGGCATATGACACATGAGGAAACTGAGACCTGAAGAGGTGGCAATCTAGTCACAAAACAGAGACGTGGTAAAGCCAGGTCTGCATATGGGGTTACCATAGTACTTTTTGGACATTAATATGCAAGCTCTGATACCTCGTTAAAAGGCAGCTTCTGGGTCAGTAAGTCTGGAGCAGGGCCTGAAGTCTTGCATTTCTAACAAACGCTCGGGTGGTGGGAATGCCGTTACACTTTGAGTAGCAACACTCGAGAATATTCAGCTCATTGCTCTTTTCACCGCCTGTATGAATCGCGTCCTTCAACACAGAAACAGAATGGGTGAGGGTTTGACAGATAAGAATCTCAGTATCCATGTGCCTGGTGTGTAAGAGCAGAGGAAGATCTCAGTGGTAATGGAGACACAGCGATGGGAGTGGAAAGCCTCATCCAGACACCAGACACTCTGCTAGCTCTGCGAAGCATCTGCTGCTTCAAAACTCCTCTATGTTTGGTAAAGACCAAAGGAAAGCTTATCAGAAAACCCCATGAGCTGTTTAGCTGCCCATATAATCTGCTTGGGGCCCCTGGTTCAGAATCTTTCCCTGCGTGGGAAGGATAAATTGACCTTCTTTCTTTATCATCTTATGGAGTGCGATTCTCTAACAAGTGACAATTTAGGGAAGGCATGTTACAATCCACTGGCAAGGTATTAGAGAACGAGCAACACAGGTCTCTTGGTCTACATCTGCTTTGCTGTATGTACTATAGTAGACAGATGGCTGAAATATGTAAGGTATTCTCAGATTTGAGCCTTGCTCCTGGCTTCTCTACCAACTTTATAGGCAGTCTTGAATCAGTCACTTTATTTATGATAAATGTGTCAAAAGAGCTTAATGATTCTAGCATAGGGGCTAAGATCTGTATAAAGAGAGGTACAAATTAATATTAGTGGTTCAATGTAATTGAAAGACTGAAGGACTAACAGTGGGAATGGAGGAAGACAAGAGATATTGAATCACAAGCTGGAAATATACCCTTGGATATCAACACTGTGTGTGTGTGTTTGTGGACTCAATGCCTATTTATTGACAGGAGAGTGCCCAGGTAAGTTTTGTGAGAGTATTCAATCGTCAGAAAACTCCTAAACCTGTCCCAGCCTCACCTCTTGTTCTTCCAACTTCTTTGCACCTGGGTTGGTTCTCTAAGCTCCTAACAGTGGGATTAAGAAGCGTGTGGGTATTACAGGGAGATAAATTGGGACGCAAAGACCCTTCATTCATCCGCTGCGAAGACGACAACTGGACTCTTTACGAGAGCAACATTCGGCCCCGTGAGTATTTCTCAACTTGCGGTGTTTACGCAGGTTATAATTGAAGGGCTTTGGGGGTAGGGGTTGATCTGGCTCTAAAATCAAGAAATGGAAGAAGAGGACACACTGAACCTGTGGGCCTGGACTGGGGCCGGGAATGAAACTTGGAGAAAACATGAAAGAAATACACTCAAACTGCCTTATAATGTGTAACAAGCTAATAAGTAAGACTTGATCATTTCAAGGTCATTGCAAAACTTGATTACTAAATTCGTTTGGAAAGAACTCCACACTGACCCTTCTTTTTTTTTTTTTTTTTTTTTTTGTGGTTCCATGGCAAACAGTTTTCTGGGAAAGGAAGGATTTGGGGCACGAAATGACCACAGAGCAAACAGTTCTTTACTCCTGGGATGTGCTTGAAAAAGACCGAGGCACAAGAGAGGGGACATGAGAGTGTAAGGATAGGAAGGAAGAGAGCCAAGAGCCAGCACAGGCATGACCCGGTGCAGTGTGGGTGGCTCAGCCTTCTCCCTCTGAGGTTAAAGTGTTTGTTTGTTCCAATCTGAAGGAAGGTACTTGTCGAAATTTTGTTTTTATCTTTTCCTGACTTTGATTTGAGTCTTCCTTGGCTCTCCAAGTTATTTGATTCTCTCTGCTTCAGCAGAACCCTGGTGACACTTATGGGCTCAACCCCATCAGTGCAGAGAGAGCCTTCCTGCACCTTTCTTCCTCCCAACCCCTCTCCTATAGCCCCTCAACAATAGGATTGTCTGTTGGCCTGTGTGTTTGCTGAGAAGGAGGCACTGGAAGTCTGGGGCGATATTAGCAGCATCCGAGATCCTGACCTTCTGGAACTGCTCTTCCTTAGCTGGAAGTTGTAAATGACCATCCTCTGTAGGTCATCTACAGCTGAGCTCCGCTGCTTTGACACCAACCCTGATTTCCTACCGACTACGCCTTCACATATTACTCTGCTGCATCCCCTGCTTCCTGCAGAACCACACTTCAACATCTTCAAAAGAGGAAGGGCTAACATTACTGTAAAAATAGAAAGCCATTCTGCGTCACAAAGGAATGAATTACTTGACGCTTATGGGAGGCAAAAATCCTTTTATAGGTAAAATCAAATCTGACTCTAGATGCAGGATTATTTAGCTTGGGAGATACCTTTTTACTTTGTAGGAAAGCACCGCCAAGATAAGTTTAGCCTTTGGTGCAATCTGTGGCAGACAACGCTAACTTCCACGGCAGGAGAAAGTCATATTTCTTCTGCTCCTCTCAAAGGTTGAACAGGGAGAACCAGAGGGCACCTCTACGACAGAAACACTCTACGGGTTAGTTGACTGTCCTTTGTACTCAAATATGAAATGTTGTACGTGAAAGGCACACTAAACACAAGCTTCTTTTCCATAGTGCAAGCCCTGAAGGTCATGAAGATCCAGGGATTAAGTTATGTAACTTTCTGAAGAGAATTCTTTTACATAATGCATCACATCTAGACTAGACAGGAACTCTGTCCAAACCCAGAGGTGTCACTTCAAAATTATATATGCAAACATGCAAAAGAAACTTTCAAGAAAAAAAAGGGGAAGTATAATCAAGGAAAGATGGAAATCAAGTGTGATTTTTACATTCTTCGGGACTGCTGTTAGGGATGTCAAAGGAATCCAAGGAAGGTTTAAGACAGAATTTCAAGGCCAGGCATAAATGAGTAGTCAGGGTTTTTGAGGGATGCAGAGGATTACCCAGCAAGTGCTGAATGATGGTCACCTCTCTGGTGCATGACAAGAGCTTTTCAGCAGTTGGCCCAGGAGAACAGGTATAAGAGTGCAGATGAACTCGTGTCATCATCGTAGATTTGTTTGCCTGGCTTCCACTTATAGAAGGTCCATTATACTCTTTTTTTCTGATTTCTCATTTATATTATGCCTTTTAATTGTCCCCATAACTCTAAAAAGAAGTCATATTTGACTGGTTTTATAGGTGGAATGAGGGCCAGAGAAGTTATGCAATTTATCCAAGGTCACATAGACAGTTTTGTGAGACAGGAATTTGAAATTATGTCTATTTGATTCTAAAGCACATTCTCTCTCTTTTTTAGTTAATTCATTTTTAAGGGAGAGAGAGAGAGAGCACACAAGCAGGGGAGGGGCAGAGAGGAGGAAAGACAGAATGCCAAACTGCCTGGCTCTACATCATCAGCACAGAGCCTAATGTGGGACTCAAACCCGCGAACTGTGAGATCATAGCCTGAGCCAAGATCAAGAGTTGGACGCTTAACCGACTGTGCCTCCCGGGCATCCCAAGCACATTCTCTTTACATTACATGGCCCTCAAAGTATAATTTGACAGATCAGTTTACCTTAGGCCCTCATATTATAGACTCTGAATCTAACTTAGTGGGATCCTAATTAGACTTGCTCATTAAAACAGAATATGTCCAGTAAAATTAGAATTTTCAGATAAACAAAGAATAGTTCTCTTAGTATAAATATATACCATGCAATATCTGGGATATACTTATACTTTAAAAAAAACCGATTTGTTATTTATCTGAAGTTCAAATTTAATTGGGTGTCCAGTATTTTTATTTGCTAAAGCTGGTCATCTTAATCCTAGTAAACTCTCCAGATGAGAGAAAGGAAAATTTGTTGTGTCTTATTATTTTGAAAGAATTGAGAAGTCAAAAACCCTTGATCTGGGAGAAATTCTCTAGTTTCCACTATGACTTTGTCAGAGTGGGGATGTGTCAGTTACTGGTGGTAAACTCTGAGAATAATGCGGCTCTTGGCTGCCTACTAGCTATTTCCGCGGTCTCCACCACTTTTGGATGAGGCACAAACCTTGCCTGTTTACCAGGGCAGAAGAGGGTCCATAGCACAAGAACTGGATTCAGTGAGCAAAGGAGCTGGCAGCCCATTTCCTAAAGCCACTGAGAGCTTTGTGAGATGAAGGCCAACGATGCCTTTTCTATGGTTTGATGGAGAAGTCACGGGGTCAGGATCTTACAACCCAGTGTCCAAAATATTAGTTCTATTTCTTCACTTCTTTATTCACCCATTCAACAAATATATATGACACATCTGCTAAGCTTCAGGCACTATTGTAGGTTCTGAGGCCACACACGTGAATGAAAACTTAAAAAACAACTGTACGGGACACATTCCAGTGGGGAACTGAGATAAAACTCATGGCATAAGCAAGTGATCCGGAGCCCTACCCAGGTTCACCATCCCTGGGACCCACTCACAGATTAGTCAACCTGCTTCCATTGAAGAACTTGTGAACCAGCGGGAGAAACTAAAACTAGTAAGTTGGGAAAAGAAGATAAGGAAAAAATATCTTTCGGCAAGGATAGGAATTTAACCTGATTTGAAAGTAATCATGAAAAGTCGATGAACTCAAAGTCGCACAATATAAGATTTGAGAGATGTTCAGTGTGGCAGAAAAAGAGAAAGATGGTTAGCGTGGACTAAAGATCGTCAGGGAGAGTTGAAGCTAATAATATTAGCATAAATCTATAATTTACAGATTATATAAATCTTCCAAGTTGAGAGTATGGGAGGGTTTGGCTCAGGGTAGGAGATTAAGGCTACTTCGAAGTTCTTCGGCACTTTCCAGAATCTTGCTTCCTAAGATAAGTGTTATCAGCTTTGTGACGCAAAAGGAAAAAGAAAAAATGTCACCCTTTAGCTTAGCACACGTATTTTAAAAATTTAGCTTGTTAGCCGCTCTCTATTTGTACTTGAAGAATGACAATGTACATTTCTGTAGCTAAAATCAGTCTGTGAAAGTCACGCTGGATAAGTCCATGATTCAGATAGGAGAAAATGTAGAGCATTTCTGAGATATGTGTGGCTTAAGAACCTCATGTCTGGATATGCAGTTAAAGCACAAATTTACTACTTAATCACCCTCCATGGATGTCCCTGTGTGTGTGTGTGTGTGCGCGCGTACAGGAATGGATTGAACGCTATGTGGGTGTTCATATCCCTGGTGCAGAGCTGCCCTGTCCACATTGCTAAGGCGTTATCCCCCAGAACTAAGCAGAGAAGTATCCTGAACACATGAAGATTAGACAAAAATCAGGATTATAAAGAAAGAAGCCCATAAAATGTGAGCCAATAAATATTCGGAGTCAGGTTATTTTGCAGTTGGGTGGAAAAATATGTAAAGTTTAAAGAACCTATCCATGCTGTAAAGACTGTAGTTAGCTTTTAGCTCATTTCCCTCTCTTTACAGATGGTGGAACTGGTGATTACAGAGAAGTATATATCATAATAAATTAGAAAACTAGTGACACAGAGAAAGCTAGTGACAATTTATTGAAACAATAGATTGATTTAGATTTTGGGGGTTTTAAATCTATTAATTGTCAGTCTACATCCCACAAAATCCTGTTTTTCTGGTGTGTCCAATGAGGGTTTAAGAAGCAATGTCCCTATACACTAAAAGGTTTCTTTTTTCCTCTCACTGTCTAAGGAGCTTGAAAGAGAACCATCAGATACCCAAGGACATAAGAATGAGTGACAACAGCACTTTGGCTCCACCAGCTTCAAGCCAGGGTCCCACTACCCCACGCAAAGGGCCCCCCAAGTTCAAGCAGAGGCAAACTCGTCAATTCAAAAGCAAACCTCCCAAGAAAGGTGTGAAAGGGTAAGACCAAATTAAAAGGAAGATTTTCTATTTTTTCCCCCATAAGACTGCTTTGGTTTTGGGGCGCCTGGGTGGCTTAGTCGGTTAAGCGTCCGACTTTCGCTTAGGTCATGATCTCACGGTTCGTGGGTTCGAGCCCCGCGTCGGGCTCTGTGCTGACTGCCAGCTCAGAGCCTGGAGACTGTTTCAGAGTCTGTGTCTCCCTCTCTCTCTGACCCTCCCCTGCTCACGCTGTCTCTCTCTCTCTCTCTCTCCTAGAAATAAATAAAACATTAAAAAAAAAAAAAGACTGCTTTGGTTTTGAGAACCTAATGCTCACAAAATTAAACAGACTTACACAGACTTCCACACTCTCCTCTATTTTCCTCTTTACCACAATCTTTGCTGAACTGTGTCTTTAGCCCTGAAATCCTTTCTCCCTCAGCAACCGGGTCTGTGGTGACATTTAGCATGGCAAATGGGGCCTATCACAGCAAACTTCGACTTGACCTTCCAGACTCTTCTCGACTACTCCTCTTTACCAGTACACCCTGTGATTTAATGTAGAATAGTAAAACACTGACCGTTTCCAGAACACAGAGTTTATTAAGTTTATTTTTATGGCTACAAATGTTATGTCTTCAGTTCTTTGCTTTTCTCTTTCTCTTTTGGTCCCAAACCCTATTTATTCCTTAACATACACTCATTTGTTAATTTCCTTTTTTGACACCACTACTGACTCTCTTATTCAACAGTGTGATCATTATTTCCGTGCTTGCATTTCGTACATTCAGCGATAATAACTTGTATTATTTTACATTACATTTGTTTATTTCCATCTGTTCTTGGAGATTGAAATCTCTCAGAGAAAATTTATTTATTTTTTTCCTTAATTCCCTATGCTCAATAGGATGCCTGACAAAGAGTAAATGCTTGATAAATGTTTTTGGATAACTGACCAAATGGATGAGTTAATCATTTTAATGCATTTCATACTGTGTTTTCATTCTAATTTCTATTTTTAAAAGTGGAGCTTGACTAAATTGCCCCCATAATGGTTCTCTTTGGCTCTCAGTTGTCTTAGGCTAAATTTTTACAGGAAAACCTCTCTCCAAGGGGACACACTGTCTGAAAACAGCCTGAGTGACTTTGCCTTTGTTCTGGGTCAATGCAAATAAAAGGTGTTTCACAAAGACAAAAACTTAAATCTCTTCCCTTTTTGTCAGGAAGCTCTATATATGACTCATTCCAAGATCTTTTCACTCTATGGTCAGCTAATTTTTAATTTTTCTCCCCCCCCCCCAGGTTTGGAGATGACATTCCAGGCATGGAGGGGCTAGGAACAGGTGAGCCACCCAAAGATGTGGACTTTCACTAGGAATTTCACCACTATACATACTTTAGGCCTCAAAAGGCTGTGAAAAGTTAAAAGAAATACCTAAGGCAGCAGATCCTTGAAGACACAGAAATGTGGGGTTTAGTTTTACTTCCTTAGTAAGTACATGTGATGTGTGCTCAGGAGCAAAAACTCCAAGAGGAATCAAGGTAAGGGCCAGAGTTACTAAACCCTCTTGTTCTATTAGACAACTCTTGAGAACATATAATGGTGAGTTGTAGACTTCCACGGTAAAAAGATTCTCAGGGTTAGTCTATCCCAACTTCATAATTTCTTTGGAAGAGAAGCCTGAGACAGAGAGCAATTAAGGGACAATCTGAGGCCCCACAGTGAAGTTCTGGAAACAAGGGTGAGGCCTGGCCAACCACTCTGTAACCAACTTCCTCTTCTTACACATCCTCTAGCACCCAGAACAGGGCCCGCACGCTGAGTGTATCCAGTACGATATTTCTAGTTGACTACAATCATTTGATTTGTTGGCTAGTGAATGCAAATTAGTGGATATTCCTTTTAAAAGTATTAAACTTTGTTTGTTAGAGCAGTTTTAGGCTTACAGAAAACTTAAGTAGAAAGTATGGAGCTCCTACATGCCCCCTCTGCCGCCTTTCTCCCCGTGCGCATGGTTTCCTATAATTAGCATCTTGCATGAGTGTGGCACGTTGGTTGATGAACAAGTATTGATAACATTATTATTAACTCACATCCATAGCTTATATTAGAGTTTGCTCTTTGTGTTGTACAGTTCGATGGGTTTTGGCACACATAATGTTGTGTACTCGTCATTACAGGTACATACAGAATACATGCCCTGAAAATCCCCTGAGCTTCATCTGTTCCCCCTTCTCCCACCTTCCACAAACCACTGACAACCACAGATCTTTTCATTCTCAAGGGTGTTGCCTTTTCCAGATTGTCGTATTGTTAGAATCACACAGTATATAGATTTTCCAGACTGATTTCTTTCACTTAGCGATGTTTATTCATTTAAGGGTCCTCCATGTCCTATGTGTCATGACAGCTCATTTCTTTTTTCCGCTGAATTATATCTCATTGTACGGCTGTATCAGAGTTTGCTTCTTTTATCAAAAGACATCTTGTTGCCTCCAAGTTTTCACAATTATGAATAATACTGCTATAAACACAATTGGGCAGGTTTTTGTGTGAACGTGTTTTAAACTCATCTGATATTCTTTTGACAAATGATATAATCAGCAATCAGTGTCCTTACCAGGCAATTCTCAGTGTATTTGCTTTTTGCTGTCAAATGCCACCCATGGGATGCCAAATTCATTTTCTAGCTACTTTACAGAGCTCACTTTGCTATTCTTTTAAATCAGCTTCTTCTGTAGTTTGGCCAGATGTATAGGAGACCAGTCGGTTTGCTCTGGGCTTACGTTTAACTCTGCCAACATATTTGGAATACTGCAAAGAGCTTTACACTGAGATCTTTGGCTTGGTTCTAGCCCTATCCTTGTAACTCTGATTTTTTAAAAATAGGTATTTAATCCTTTTTGGTTCCAGTCAGCTTCTCTGTAATTCAGGGATAATAATATTTTATTGCCCGAAGCAAAAATTGGATTAATAGGTGTCTTGAGATTATTTCTCAGTATGCGATTGGACGTAGGAGGCATTTCAAAATATAAAGGAATGAAAGAGTGAGTCAGAGAAGCCCAAGGAGTGCATCTGAATTGGTAAGGGGTAAGAAGGCAGTGGATTTCCAGATCATGGGGAAGTAAAGTGCTTCTATTTCCCATTTTAACCCTTGGCCTCACTAGAATTCCACTTGTGTTTCTTCCATAGTAGTTGTGCTTTGGGGACACCCCATTTGATCAGTGGTGTGCACCCCCTCAGGCTAGCTCCAGCCAAAAGCCTGGGGTCATCTCTTCAAAGAGGTGCAGAATGAAACCGATGAAGATGCCTACTTAGTGGGGTCTGTTCTGGGGGCATCAGAACCCTGTAAGGGATTAACTAAGCAATTGGTTTGATCCTTCCTGGGCTGCAGGGCCATTCTAGATAACTTCCTGGTTGCTGAGACAACAAATAGGAGAGAGGAGTGAGGTGTCTCTGCCCAAAGGATGTCTTTCTGAGCAGAAGAGCCTCTGGAGGGTTGGGGGAGGGGGGGGAGGGTGGTGGTGAGGCCGACTCACAAGTTCTTCTTCCCTCTCCTGCAGATATCACGGTGATTTGCCCCTGGGAGGCGTTCAGCCACCTGGAATTGCATGAGCTTGCTCAGTTTGGGATCATCTGATGCACTCGAGGTTCTGGCACTCTCCAACAGCATCTGCTTTAATTTTGATTACTTTTGCCCTATTGATCTTCCAGAGTCTTAAAATTCAGCTGTCGGAAGTGGTTTCTTCAGCTTACCCAGTCATTTCCCCTAAATTGCTATGAAGAGTTTCTCTTAGCGTCAGACTCTCTCTTGCCTTATAGTTCAGCTCAGAATAGTGGACGCAAATAGACTTTTGTTAGGGCATTTCAAATTTTACCACCTTTTCCTATTAGCGGGTTAGAATTCATTGATAGTTCTCTACACTTTATCTGTCAAGTCCTTCACATTTAGTTTAGCCAGGCAGTACCTGTAACTAGTAGTAGTTTTTAGGATAATATTGATGTCAGCCCCTTCCTTTTCTCATTTAATAAAGGAGATACTTACCTTGAATCTTATGATGAAGTTGTATTAAATGCTATATGCAAATATCTGAACCCCTATTCGGAGAGCCGGTTCAGAAAGGAGTGCACAGTCATACAGGAAATAAGCACAGTGCATGTGAAAGAACACAGGAATAAGAGTCAAGCTCTGATTCCGCTTGTAAATCATACATTTTCTGTGTCTAAATTTGGAGATTTAAACTCAGGAATCTGTTAACGTGAACTTTCTTTTTAGTATCTTGGCTCAGTTGATTGAAAATATTTGTATCTACAGAATTCAAACGCATATGGGACAGGTAGTTGAACCCTCTAAATAAAATGATGGTTTGCTTCATCCCTGAGGTGTGTCAAATGTAATGTGCACATAGCTATCTTTCCCCAGTGCTTTCAAGGCAGTTGTGCAATTCAATTGCTGCCCCGTCTGACTTGGATGTCTTGGGTACTAGCAGTATTGGTTTCTTCATTTCAGTTTTGTAATCTGCGGTAAAAGAATGGGGAAAATTAACTGAAAAGAAAGGCAGCATTACAGAGAGGAAAGAGATCTGGGTTCTAATCCTGGCTTGACCAGTAAATTACTCTGTAATTTTGGACAAAGATCTTTCTCCTTGGATCCTCTGATTTTCCTGAATTAGGCAATCTAAGGTTCACGGTACTCCCCGACTTTGAGGTCTGCAGAATCTGAGTCTAAGGGTCAGAGGAGCTCAGCACTCAAGAAAATTTCTTGTGCTGCACAAATGACCTAGTTATCTCTGACCTGAAAATTAGAAGCCCAAGGGAGGGCTCTGGATTGGTAGGGGGTAAGGAGACTGCGAATTTCCAGACCATGGGAATTTTAAAGCACTCTTCTTTTTCATTTTCATTCTTGGGCTGACTAGAATTCCATTTCTGTTCATCGTTAGTAGAAACGAGGGGGGCCTGAGAGGCTCAGTCAGTTGGACATTCAGCTAAGGTCATGGTCTCATGGTTCGTGAGTTTGAGCTCTATGTTGGGCTCTGTGCTGACAGCTCAGAGCCTGGAGCCTGCTGTGGACTCTGTGTGTGTGTGCGTCTCTCTCTCTGCTACTCTCCCACTCACACTCTGTCTCTTAAAAATAAATAAATGTTCAAAATTTTTTAAAGAAAGAAAAGTACAGAAGAAAAAGTAAAGTATAAATCAAGAGTAGAACTGTGTGTGACATGCAAGAAGTGTAGTGATGATATGTGTGTGCTTCCCCTCCAGCAGGAAGTCCTGCCTCCACTCATGCACCTGTTTTCAAGCTGGAAACTCCAGTTGATGGTCAGAACCTTGGTCTGTGCTTTTCAGGTAGGGAGGTCTGGGTTCTTCTCCAGCTCAGCGAGATTTCATCCACATTTGACTTTCTTTGCAAATGTTTCTCTAAACATTTTAAGAATGCAGCCAGAGGAACATATTCAATGGCCAGGCTGGAGAAGGACCTAGAAACCATGCTACATGAAGAATTGTTGAAGGAACTGATAATATTTAGGTTAGATGAGAAAATGATAATTGCCAGTAAATATTTGAAAAGTTGTAATGAGCAGGATGAAGCAGATCTATTTTATGAAGTATAGCATTTAAGTGGTAAGCTAGATCAGATATAATTGAAAGCCATTGAAATTCTAGAATTCTGTTCTTTTCATTTCTAATTCTATGTCTACCATGTCTATTATTCCTAATAAGAAACAAGAAAGCCCTTCTCATATAAATAGCACATATGAAAGAGAATAAAGGTAAATTATGGTCCCCGTCAAAGTCCTGGCAGCAGAAATGCCATACTCAGCGTACCTGAGGAAATTTTAACAAAGCGACTATTTAAGGCTTGGGATTGGGGGAGCACCTAAGTGGCTCAGTCATCAGACTTCAGCTCCTTCATGATCTCGCAGTTCATGAGTTCAAGACTTGTATCGGGCTCTGTGCTGACTGCTTGGAGCCTGGAGCCTGCTTCAGATTCTGTGTCTCCCTCTCTCTCTGTCCCTCCCCTGCTCACATGCTGTCTCTCTCTCTCTCTCTCTCTCTCTCTCAAAAATAAATAAAAATTAAAAAAAAAATTAAAAGGCTTGGAAAGGACCTGGCTGGCTCAGTGCGTAGAACATGTGACTCTTGAGCTTGAGTTCTTTAGTTCAAGCCCCATATTGGGCATAGAGCTTCTTTTAAAAAAAAGAAGAAAAAGAGTAAGGTAAGAAGGCTTGGGGAGGGTTACGGAGTATCTACAAAAGGCAAGATAGTAACTTGGGGCTGGCTGCAGCGTTAGAGTTACAACATTTCCAACTGGCAGCCTGAAGAAATCCCAGTAGGTCTTCTCTCTAAGAAAGGCCTCTGAGGGGACTGTGGAAGGTCACGGCCACCTTACAGGGATCCTGTGAGTCATCAGGAGGGAGTGGGGGTGAGGCTGAAAAATAACCCAATGTTATTCTTCTCCCATTCCCTGCTCCCCTGCTGATGTCTCCCATTGGATAAACCCGGTTGGAAGTCAGAGGACAAAGGAGCCCACTGACATTGTCTAAAGTTCATTTCAACAACAGGGGTCAAGGTGGAGAAGGGTGGAGAGTGGACGTGAAGGGGCAAATGGTACCTCTCCAGCAGGGCACAGTATCAAAGAACAGAAACCATTCGTCGGACAGCGATTGTTAGCTGGAGTTGGGAAATCAGCCTGTGTCTGTGTAAAACCCGCAAAGGTGGAGGAAGGACAAGGTCAAAGAGAAGAACCCAAGAGACAAAGGAGAACAATGGCAGGAGGAAACTATCATAGCATTTAACGGGTTGCAAGATTTTCTGAACTATTCTGACACGTTCTTGATAATGAAAACCATTGAGAAGTTCTTGTTAAAAACACAAAATTTGGGCCCCATTCTAGATTTTCTGAAGAAACGTCTCCAAGGGTGAGATCGCAACATCTTTTATTTCCAAGAAGGGCTCCAGGGGATTCTCACATTTGTGCCACTTTGAAAACGCCGCTGCCGTCCAAGCCTATGTTGTACATGTTAGGAATTAGAGAATTCTTGTTACCATCCAGGTGACTGATTTTGCTGGGTCCACTTGTCCTTAAAAACGTATATAACATATGTGAGAACAGGGGCTACCATTCATGTGTTCTGACTCTTACGCTGATAAAATAGACATGCCTCATGACTTCAGACCTAAATTAAGATGAATGCATCTTAAATCACACAGAATGTCAGAGAATTGGGAAGGTAAGGGTTAGACCGAGATAGTCCCAAGAAATATCTGGCCAAATAGGCACCATTACCCCTGGGGTGGACCTCTTGCCGTTGTCTCACCAGGCCACCCTCTGTCCGTTGTCAGGGTCACTTCCTGTCTTCATCTGCCTCCCCTGACTAGAGTAGAGGGGACCAGAGTGGGAGAGAGCTTTGTCTCAGCAGGTGGAGGCCATGAGCCTCACTTACCCTTCACCCCTTTTCTATTTGTTCCCATCAATGGGTAGAAGTTGGGGTTGACGGTGCTGGTGACCTAGGCAGCAACCCCCATTCTAGAGCTCAGGAGCGATACCGTCAGAACAGAACACAGTACGTAAGGAGGAAATGCTCTTCTGGAGTACCCCACGGTGGGCAAATATACACAGTTGTTACTAAACAATTGAGACCATGCAGTTGACCTCTGACTTTCTTCTTTGCACCGTGAGCGAAACAAGGATCCCTATAAACTGAGAAAAGGAGGCAGAGTATTTTCTCAACAACTAAAGAAGTGAAGAGAAAACACACAGAGACAGGACTAATCAATATGACTAATACTTGGCACAAGAGGAAAACCAATCGCGCGAGACTGAACAACACGACGACTAATATTATGAGAACAAAGCAAATATGACGCTGAATTGTCTCTTAAAAAGATACGTTTTATAAAAGGCCGGAGGGAAAGGCTTATTTTTACAGACCACAAAACTCGTGTGTCTGCAAGTCAAAGTGAGTTACCTGACTTTCTTTTTTTCAACAGCAGAGCCAGACTGATGAAAACTGAAATTTAAAACAAGAATCATAAACGGATTGTGAGCCTCAGTCCCACCATGTCCTTATGGTAAAACAATTGGGAGGCTTGGGTTCTGTCTGGCTCCGTTGCACAGGATCTGCTGAACATCTTCTCGGTCCCAGTGTTTGAGAATAAAGCAAGGATATTGGATTAAATAATTGCCAAGGTCCCTTGTGGCACAAAATTCTGAAAACCAAGGAATAAATCTAAGCATATTTCAAACACGAACAAACCATTCTCTTTCTGGCCAGACGTCCCAAGGCGCCATTTCCAGCTCTTTGCATGTATTAACACTGCCACCTGCTGTGGTGAATGAACACTTCATGAACTTGAAGACCATTTGCATTGGAAAACTTAAATCCATTGAGCTAGTGCTGAGTCTGTTCCCACTCATTGGCCAATTCCATTTACTTTGGACTACTTGGTTATTCATGTGCATCAAGTGCATGTTTATTCATGCCTAAGATAAACATTAAAGGCGTATACACGCGAATGGGCTAAGTTTTATTTGCACCCAATGCCTTCCGTCTGCCTCCCGTTCTCAGTCAATCCCTGTTGTTAGTTTGTCGTAAATACTTCCAGAGACAATCTTATGTGTATACATCATTTTCTTTGCATGCTGATAGCATACCGTATTCACTACTCTTTACCTTGCTCTTTCACCTGTCTTATCTTGGGGATTGCTTCATGTCTGTTCATTTTTGTCTGCCTCGTAGGTTCCATTTATATGATTGAATTCTAATTCACTTATCCAGTCTCATACTGATGGACACTTTGGATATGGTTAGACTTTTATGTCTTTTGTTAATTGTCTGCACACGTATGACACTTTTGAACAGATTTATCTCCAGGATAAATTCTTAGTAGTAGAATGGATGACTCCTGAAGGAAAGAGATTGCCAAATTAGTCTCCAAATAACTTGTAATCGCTAATACAATACACACAATTATATATGCTTTTCCTAACACTCTTGTCTACACAGAGTACTATTAAATTTTTATTTTGCCTGAGGTTGAGCAAGTTTTCATG